GAGAAACTCAACCATCTCAAAATGAACTCCAACAGACCCCTCAGGAGAATCGTGAGAGATCAGCCTTCTCACCTCCTATGAGGACTTTCTCACATATCTCTGAAAAGGATTCTCTGGCTGCTCAAGAACACTCCCTCAGGAAGATCAACAAAGAAAGTATCAAACCACATCTGCCACCCCCGCTGAAATATAGCCCATTCCATTCATTATTCCAACAGGCGTTACACAACAAATCGGGGCCTGAAGTAAAAACATTCGATGAGGCATCCAAAAAGTACCGAGAATTTCCCATCAAAGAAAGTCAAAAATACAAATTTGCCATAGACAGATATGCTAAAGACTTTTTGGGGACCAAACAAATTATAACAAAACTCTCAACAAATGAGCCCCTGTCATTTTCAGTTGAATCCATTCTCAAACGACCGTCTTCGATGGTCACCAATGTTACCCAATAGTTGGATAATGCAATCCTCAAATGACCCACAGTAGTGTATTTGCACTTAAGGATGTAATCCTAACCATTTTTACCAGGAACTGAATCAATTTTGATTTAGTGGAAATTACTTTTTAAATGTATTTAGGATTGGTATGCATATAATTTTATGCTGCAGTCCAAAATTTACATGGAAGCTACCTTTATTTTGTTGGGAATTATGTTTAAGTAAAGTGATTTAGGATTACCACTAAAGTTGCCAACATGTCTGGAGAACAATTGGATGTGATTTGCTAGGTGATGTTATTTACTTCCATGCCATGAAAAACTTCAGCTGGCCATTTCTACATATCATGCATATACGGTATTAAGGGACAAAGCATTTGCCTGTTGGCAGCCCCAGTGACCACTGAGGATTGTTTTATTAACCTCAGATGAGCTCCATAGTGCTAATATATTTTAGAGCAAATACCCTTTCTTAAAGGATTTGTAGATTGGTTGGTTCTCACAGTTGTCATCCTCACCATGTATTATTTATAAAGACACTAATATACTTGGTGCTGTACAGAAATAAAAATAACATGTTTCCGCCTGCAGATCTGAGGCAAAAGAAGAGGGGACTTAAGGGGAAAAGATGATTTCCATGTTCTTTATAAAGTTGCTATCCCTTTCCTTACCAAAATTTTGTATAAAAGAGTTCAGGATGTAAATCTTTGTTTTAAAGTGTACATAAATATGCATGTTTTTGCTATGGAAATAAATATATTTAAATTTTTTGGAACTAAAACTGACTTGGCCATCAGTAATTTTCTTTTCTTTTTTGATATTTGTGTTTGTGTGTGTGCTTGCATGCTTGGAAGTCATGATGACTTCTGGTGACCCCTACTGGGGGCTTGGATGTTTTTCAGAGAGGTGGCTTGATAGCCTGCCTCTGCGTCCTGAGCCCTGGTGTTCCTTGGAGGTCTCCCTGCCAAATACTTGCCAGGGTCAGCGTTGCTTAGCTTCCGAGATCTGACAAGATCTGGCGTGCCTGGGGTAGCCAGGTCAGGGCGCCATCTGTAATTTTCTTAATTTTATGTCTACATATAGCATCTATGAATTGTAACAAAAGTAAATTATCACCATTGTCTTTTGTCTAAATCCTGTTATTCCCTCTGCACTATCCTTTGTCTAATGTTCACCTCTTCTCTTCTGAGCAAGAATTACTTTGGTTACAGTTTAGCACAGAGGAAAGTCTATGCCCATTGAAATAAATGGGCTCAAGAGCACTTAAATATGTTATGTTGCAGTTCCTGTGTAAAATTTCACATGTTTGATGTCACTGTTCAGTGTACATGTCTCTTTCTAAAACATGCAAACAGATTCCTAGTTTTTGTATGTTTCTCTCACATGTTGTCCTTTGTACTTGATACTTTGGGAAAGTTGTGCTTTTCTAAGCTAGCCATAGAATGGCTTCTAGCATGGTATTCTCAAGCTTTGTCTGAAAGCTGAGAGTAGTACAGGGGAAAGCTCAAGATAGGCATGCTGGAGAACTGTTCCAGTTATTTTACGTATCTTATGAGAATATTTTAATGAATTCCAACAATGCAATAGCAGCACTATCAGTCTCATCTTCCCTCTCCCTGAAAAGAGTGAGCAAGCTGCATAACATTCTGTTGGTTTTGTTTTTCTCCTTTCTGCTTGTGTCTCTGGTTTTCAGATACGTGTTTTCCTTGTGATTAAGGCTGGTATCAGCCAAGACAAGATCAAAGTATAGCACTTTGCAGAACACTCTTGGACTGGTTATAAAGTGGGATCAGTTTATACATACCAGTTTTTGGCATGAAAAGTCTATTATATCTGGTGAGCAGACATATTTTATATGAGTCTTCCTGTAGGTCTTTGTTTTCTGTGCCAAGATGACACATCATCTGTGTCCTGTACTATTACCATTCCTTGAGTTTCCCTTCTTTACTGACATGGATTGGACTTTTTTTTAATTGACTTCTTGGGTGGTATAGCTGGTCACAACACTCACTTCAGAATAAATCTGGACGTGCACAGCCACTGTACTGATAGCATTCATTCTGTGACATCCATAGTAGATAGTTTTATTGTTTCAGTGATCCTATACAGTAGGTTCTATTATTATCCTTGCAGGTAGGTCCATTCATTTTGATGGATTTAGAAGAGTGTAACTCTATTTAGGATGACACCATAAGGCCACTGAGTAAGTCCATGGAAGGGATACTACAATGGAAATAATTGTAATGAAAACAAATATAATAACAAAATGACATAAAAAAAAACACAGCCCAGAAAGATCGGTATTACACTGCACAAAATAATCCCATAATAAAATCCCAAGAAAATCTGAATGCTGACCAAGAATATGCTATTATTACACCAGTAATCCCTAAAACATGCAAAGTGTATGGTCATGCTCCATGACCTGATCACATCCATGTTTAATTACTGTAATGCACTCTACATATGTAACAGATCACCCCTCCCCCCCAAAAAACTGGCTCATCAACACATTCCAATTCTACTGTATGCAGATGATGCTGTTATCCTTTCCAGGACCTCTATAGGGCTAAGAAGATCTCTTCATAGTCCTGTCCTCTACTGACAAGATCTGACAAGATCTGGCTAGCCTGGGGTAGCCAGGTCCTCTACTGTGATGCTCAACAGCTTGTGATTAACCATCATTAAGGTCATGTCCTTTGGCAAGTGTCCTAAACAAAAAATCAGGTCTATAAGGGCCAGAAGCTAGAACAAGTCAAGTCTTTCAGATATTTAGGGATGGTTGTGCAGGCTACTGGCTGTAGAGTACTCCATAGTGATTATGTTGTGTGGCCAAGGAAGAAAGGTCAGCTCTTAATATTATTAAATTTCTCTGCACTAAGAGGGCTATTTTTCTCCATCTGCCCTTAAACTCTTTCAAGCCAAGACACTCTCTGTTATTATATGGGACATTTCTAGGTCCTCCTGTTTCATGTTACACACCTGTTGAATGGGTGCAAGCAAAGTTTCTGAGAGCAGTCTTCCAAATTCCTAGATGTATCTCAAATTCTATTATCTGTTTGGAGACAGGGACGCTAAAGGTAACGGCCAGAATTTTACTGACTTTGCTTTTTTATGGCTTAAGATAAACTCTAACCCTCGTGGCCTCCTCCCATTTATTTTACTTATTTATTTATTTGACTTTCAATCCAGCTGGCTCAAGGCTATCCAAGTGAAAATCACTCAACTTGGATTTTTGTCTTCAGTTCTCCTTCAGATGGGTGTAGATATAACCAGTCAAGTTTTGAGTCAGAGAGTTGAAGATATTGAACGTCAGTCCAACATTGCAAGATTGCCTAACTATATCGCAGCACCTAATAGATGCTACCTCTATTCTCCGGCTACTTATTTATGCACTCTGGAAAATAATAACCAAAGAAGAGCCTTCACTCTTGCCAGATTTTCTGCTTTACCATCAACAATTATCGAGGGCAGATACGGTAGGATTCCTTGGGCAGAGAGACTCTGCCCCTGCAATAGCGGAGAGATAGAGACGATGGCACATGTGTTCCTTTGTTGCCCCGTCTACAATGGGATTCATTCTATATATATTTTCCCATTACTCCAATGATCTACAGATACTTCTGACTCATCTAGCATTAATTTGCTTCTGTCCGGCGTGTGTACTGAGACAACTCGGCAAGTAGCCAAGTTTTGCTCTCAAGCAATTAAACTTCGTTCTGTTCAGATCTTGCCAGGTAATGGCGATGTAAATACCGATTGTGACATCTAATACCTTAATCCACACTTATTTTATCAGGGATTGGGCAGCCTTCCTTCTTCATTTGCTGTTAGTTAGTCATAAATGTTAGAAGACATACATTGGCCTGATTAGCACTGTACCCTGATATCCCTTGACCTGACTGGACTGGGAAGTTTTATTCTAATATTGTAAGTAAATGTTCATCCTTGTTGCCAGGTACTAGTGACAGGATTTGTTATATCTCATATTTTGGTTGTTTTTATCATTAATTTTATTATTCTGGTCATGGACTGTAATAAAAGATTTTGACTTTGACTCTACATATGGCTGCCTTTGAGAATAATCCTGAAATTTCAACTGAGTGCAGTGGCCGGGCTGCTAACAGGGACTGGTCACAGAGGTCATATCACCATTGTGCTGAAAGAGCTGCACTGGTTACCCATCTGTATCCAGGTGCAATTCTTATGCTCAAAATGTTTTGAGGCCAGGGCACCTGAAAGATGGTGATCCTCTTTTACTGTCCAGCTCGCCTGTTAAGCTCTAACTCCCACACCCTGCTCTGTAGGCCCCCACCTTCAGCAGTTAGGTGGGTGGTGACTAGAGACAGAACATTTCCTGTAGTGGTACCTTATCTTTAAAATGCCCTTCCCATTGAGGCTTGCCTGGCACATGCCTTACTGTCTTTCAGGCACCGTGCCCAAACTGTTTTTTTAACCTAGGTATTTTATGGGTAGTTCTATGCTATTTTTATGTTGCTAGGTTAGTTTTATAGCTTATTTTAATGGCTTGCATATTTTTTTTAAAGAATATTATTTTAATTGTAAGCTGCCTCAAGCAGGGCTGTGGAGAAGAGGCATAAAAATCTGCCAAATAAATACATTTGACTAATGTTAAAAGCTGCCATAATTAAAAACATGGGTACATAACAGGTGCATTCATGAAACACTGCATTAATATGTAGTCCAGTGATGTGCAAAAGATTGTATAGAAAAATTAAAAATTATGTAGAGTAAATATAAAGGGAAATTATGAAAACCAGCACAAAATATCAAAATGAGTATGTTTTGCACGTAAGTTTTCAATCTCAGTGTGCATATCTAATTACAGAAAGGAAGAATCTGGCATAACTCGGGCTGGCCGATCAGCTTTTGGAATGCATTGGAATGTTCATGGCAGCAGTAAAGTTGTACACTTGTCTAGCCACTTTTAAATGACATTTGCATTCATCTCACAACATGGGTCTTAACATATGTGCTTATAAACAGTAACATTGAAACCATCAGGGCCATATTCCTTTCCTACAGAAATTCCCTAAAGTGTCCAAAAATACTAGCTTACAAAAGCAAATGCAATTCTGAATCAAGTCTTTCATTTCAAATTGTTCTCCCCTTCCCTTGAAAGACGGTGATTGAAAGTGAAATGATAGTTTTGATTTCTAATCAGCATGATGACCCGAGAGAGAGAGATATGGACCAGGGCTTGTTAACATTAATACATGAGCTGTCCCAACCAAGTCAGGACTTGGCCCTCTGGCTTGTTATTGTAATTGATTTATTGCTCCAGGTTTTTGGAAGATACTCCCTTGATACATATGTGCCACGGGTGTGCAACACTTCTATGCAAAACATATGTTGCATACATTGTTCAGGGCGGTGTCATTCAAATAATCTTTTGGAGATGCTTTGTGTACTATTTGACACATTAGTGTTCCAAACGGAGAATGTGCAAGGCATTGCACTTAGGCTGCCTGGTAACATGATGGAAATGAACTCTCCCAGCATGCAGATGTTGCTTTTGGAAGGAGCAAAACTTCCTCAAGCCTACATTTTTAAAATTAATGAATCATCTACAGTAGATAAATTGATTATTTCTAGGACTCTTTATATATATATTTCTCTGTCAATGATTCTCCTTTGTGGGTTTGACAGTAAATAGGAGACTGCTCAAACTAAACCATTTTGAGGTCATGGATCTA